ATAAAATAAAATAGTTACATTAAAAATAAGATTTGAACAGTTATAAATTCTAAGAAATATTTTAAATTGTTGATATGAAATAGTTACTTTAAAAGGAAATTATATGAACAGATTACAATACTATGAAATAGTTACATTAAAAAGAAGATTTGTACAGTTATAAATTCTAAGAATCATTGAAACGTTATTAGTTATTATTTTAACAAACAAACTGTTATCTTAACATGACTGCACTTTCATGAGTGGTTTTAGTTTGGCTTTTATCACCTTCAATCATACATGTACGTTGGAAAGCTTAGCTGTTCCAGCATTTTAAATATGTATTAGTGAAAATTATAAATAGGAAAGTTGTAACAAGCATTAGACAACCAACATTATGAGCTTTAAGCCTCAGTTTGCATCTTCAAAAGTCTGGCTAAATAATTATGGACTCACAAAGATGATGTCTTCAATTATTTTTTATTCATTTTATTTTAATTCAACCCACCTCTGTAGGGTTCATGCTTCCAAGCTGAGGATCTTGATTCACAAAAACTAGTCAAGTTGTACTGGAAATCAAAATAGAATATTAATCAATAACTGGCAATCAAGCAGAGCTTTCATTAGATGAGTTGCTATTTTTGTGGTTCCAATTGTCTTATTCCTGCTCTGGCACAACAAATAACTAGAGTTGCTCCATGACAGTCCCAAGTTCACAACATAAACAACAATTATTGAAAATAGCTTATTGGTTTGCCCCCTGTCAGTCATGGTCTGAAGTAAAGTTTTCAATGGCTTTACTTGTTGTTTAGCTACACGTAGCATGTAAGCTAGATTCAGAAAGCACAAATGATTCCATTCTAAACATTTACTTCCAAATCCAAAATTTAATATCCATTGTTTCCCCCCCAAGTAAGCTCTTAGCTCATACAAAGGGTTCAATGGACTTATCAACAGAGCCAGGCTTACTTATTATGAAGGGGGAAGCCTCTGGTTGAATTAATTTTGGTGTTCATCAATAGGTGGGTCAACCAAAAAGGGATCATGTGCATCTTCACCCCAAAATTTGGATACAACATGAGAATAAGAACAACTTATCACCTAAAGGTGTTATCTTACTGCAACACAAATTCTCACCAACCAAAACATTTATAATGCAGATTACTTTCAATTGCTATTTAATGACCTTGTTCATAATACTTGTGATTCCAAACAAAATGTTGTGATTCATTTGTAAATTCTCCCAACTAAAGAGAAACGAAGGTGTGATTCTTGCACTTACATGGTATGCACTGGATGGTGCTATATCTTTGATATCCATGTCCTTGGCAGCCTTTTTACCATAACAGCAATTCTCAGCTACAAATGCCAACAAGGCATCTCTTGCCTGATCTTCAGATATAGCTGTGGCCCTGATTAAAATGATTCAAACTGATCACTTACAGTAAGGCTTGTTTTTAAACAAGACTTAACCCTAAAAGGTTTCAAGGACAGCCACATGTTAGCTCTCTAACAATAGCTAGTGTGATTGGTTGAGAAACATACACTGTCAAATGTTCTCAATCCTGATTGTAAACTAGACTTAAACCCTATACAACCCGACATCAACTAGTATGTTAAATTCTCTATACTGTTCTCTAAACATTTCCTAAGGTGCTCCCAAGGAGAATTTCTCGAACAATCAAGAGTTTCTGTATGATCAATTCCTTTGTTCCTGCAACCTTAATGTGTGATCTAAGCTTAAGGGTGATATTGTAAGGAGAAATTAAATATTGGTCACTCTTAAGGATAAAAGAGTGAGCTCAAACGGAATTCTCATCTCATCCCGACACAACACTAAACAAGTTGTTTGAAAAGAGAGAGCCACAATGAACTTTCATCATTATGATAGTAACAGAGCACAAGTCACCCTCAAATGAAAATTTTAATCTCCCTGAGGCTTATCAAAAAGATTTCGCATGATAATTTTCTGAAAATTTCTAATTGACTTACTGTTGGAAAATCTGTTCTGGTGTTTGCTGCTGTTTTGGTGGTTCATAGGGGGGCGGAGGAGGCAGATAATCTGTGCCTACAAAATAAAATAATTGTCATAAATATCAATAAAAAAAATACAGTTACTGGTATCTTGTATAATTGTAATAATTTACTAAGGGAATCCTTTGCATTAAAAACTATCATCATGATGATGGTATCACATGAATCAGGTTTTTCACATTTCAATCACTACAAAAATGCAGTTTATTTATTTATTTATTTATTTAAGGATTTGTACAAAGTATTGGTATATAAACAATAGGACATGAGTCCCCTACTAGATTTAAATACCAACCCAACCCTCAAAAACTAAGCATCCTATCCCTTCTATCCCCTCTATCCCCTAAATCTTATACACTTATACACAAAAAGAAGACAATAACTAGAAACTAACAGCTACAAACCAAGTAGGTATTTATCCGTCGACATTTAGGACACATTTTAATAGTGCGATAATTTTCGCCATGCAAAGACATTTAAGAGTCTGTTAAAGTAAAACTCCTTAAGCTTGCGCTTAAAAGAGCCAAGGGACTCTGACTGCCTAGCATCAACTGGAATATTGTTCCACAAGGGGATAATTCTAATTACCAAAGCCAACACTTTCGTATCCAGCAAACTTTCCAAACATTTCAGCTGGAGGGGCCGTTGGGGGAGGTGGTGCTGCATTCTCATTGTCGTCTACATCTTGATCTGGAACATCTGAGCCAGTATAACTTGGGGTTTGTGCTTCACCTATACAAAATAGCACATTCAATGTTTTGCAATGAATGTTCATGATTACTGTCTTGTAAATGAAGCGATCTCTTTGTCATCTTTTTTTAACCCTTTAACTCCCAAGATCTGATTTTAAAATTCTCCCCTCCAGCTTCTACACATTTTCTTGTAAATTAGTGAGGAGAATATGGTGTTAGATCAAGGTTATAAATTCTAACTGATAAGTTTGAATTTTCTCATTACCTGTTTGTTAGATAATGTGGGAGTATAATAAAGGGAGAAGTTACATGTTAATCACTTTTGGGTGTTAAGGGTAAGCTGTTAAGTCTCTGATCTGACTTGAGTTGTTTGAATTTCATCTATGCTAAAAAGATCAGAATGTAAATTATGAGACATACATCCTTCATGAAAAAAATCATTACAGTTACATGTATGTATCTACAGTCATGTGCAGGTATGACTAATTACATTTTTAGAAATAATTATATGCTATTAGTCTTACCCAAAAAATTGTAAGTATAAGTATATTTACTTGATAAATACATGTTTGCTTTACTCCACGTGTATTTGATCTCTTACTATTTAATTTAATTATTAAAAGTATAATGATTGTAAGTTATTTTCATCCATTTATAATATCATTTCACAGCACTGCACATTTCTAAGTTGTGTCAAAAACCCTTTTGCCGGCATGCAGCTGTATCAAAAGAGAATTATAACTTTTTCAATGAAACGTAAGATTAAAATAGTTTAAGGAGACTCATTTATCACCAGTTCCATCTCTCAAAGCAGTTGTGTGTTACATGCCTCATTAATCTTTTAACTGACCTGTTGGAGGTATGAAAGCTTGCTGCTGGTTAGGTACACCTCCGTACCCCTGTTGTTGTAGGGGTGGTCCCCCATCATACTGGTGCTGAGCTTGCATTGGTGGGTAACCTTGTTGCTGGGGAAGTCCATACCCTGGTTGCTGTTGAGGTGGTGCATAACCTCCTTGTAGGGGAGGTCCATTATAACCTCCTTGTTGTTGAGGAGGTCTATAACTTCCTTGTTGTTGGGGAGGTCCATAACCTGGCTGTTGTTGAGGAGGATAACCTTGTTGTGGTGGGCTATATCCTTGTGGTGGGGCTCCTTGCGCAGGGGCAGTAGATCCATAACCTGGTTGCTGTTCACCTGTAAGTCAGATATCAGCAGAAACTATCAGGTAACTATATAGACCCTGTAAATATACAAGAATGTTCTATCACATAGGTTGCAATGTGATTAGCTATCCTTCTTGCAATTTTTTCCATAATAGATGGCACCTCAATGAAGTGAGGCAAAACAATTTGCTGTTGTAAAAATAAAAACATGAGCTTGTCATTCTGTTCAGTTTTGAATGGTTTGTATAGTTTTAATGCTTCTCTCAGATTGTTTGCTCTTCTGTGCAACATAGTCCATATGAGCTTCATCCTAACCAAGTTTCTAATGATAATTCAAAATGTTCAGCTCATTATCTAGTTGCTAGTCAGTAAGTAGATGATCTGCACATGTCTGCACCAGGTCCTATAGAGCAACACATGTGCCTAATCCATCTAATATACTTTCTTTGGAAATATTTGGGCAGCATGCTTAATATACATGGGAAGTGACAAATAGATGTAAACAGGTTTATAGATTAAACCAAGACAGGGCTGTGGTCTAGCGGCACCTGATGGCCCCAGGCACCTTATTTTTGTTCTTGGCTGACCCACGAATCTTAGTTTTTTCATAACAAGCATATACTGGGCATCCTGGATTTCACAGTTTCAGAGCACTGGGCTCCCTTCAATTTTTCCTAGAGTACAGCCTTGCAAGACTGGACAAAAAAGTACACATGTTTATAGGGTCGAAAGTGGATCCCCCCCCCCCAATGATTTCTTGAATAAACCAAAATCACACAATTTCTTGAATGTGTAGTTATTTTACAAATTAAATTTTCTGCCTTTAATTTTCCTATTTTTTTAGATTTAAGTCAATTTTGCATCACAAACCTACTCTTAGAAACCCTAAAATGACCAAGACATAATTTCTCCCCATAATATCAATGTTAAATATCAAACAGGAAAGTGACGAGAAAAAAAACGATAAAAAATATCCATTTGGGGATTATTAGTTGATGCAATACCAAATTCTCTCAAACTAACATTATAAGAATTGTATGGCAGACAGTAAAAAGAATCACTAATGAGAATTTGGGAGTGAAAAGGTTGCTTAATAGTTGATACGGTAAATTTATAACACAATATCCATTTGTATTTCTAGTCCCCAATTTCTTTCTCTGTTTCAGATTTTTCTTCAAGAAGAAGCCTTAGAAGAAGCTAACACTTGTTTTCATTTATTACATCATATACCAGCTCTTAAAAAGTAGCTAAACATTGTAGCACAATGTTCCCGTTTCCTACTCTAATTTTGGTCTTGGTTTCAAATTTTTCCACAAACAGGGATAAAAGAAGGGTTGATAGTAGTACATCTGCCCCACTATTTATCCCACACTATACCTGGATACATTAATTGTCCTGAGTAAGCTCCTCCTGTGGGTGGGTATGGTGTTTGACTCATCCTTCCTCAGTGATCCACATAAACAATAAAGGCTGATAGTTTCTAAAGAAACTGTTTGGGGCTGCGTTGGTGGGGGTAATGAAATAATATGAATATATCAACAAAGTTGAAATGGTAAATTGACCACCGTTACGATTATAAAAGCTGACGTTTCAAGCGTTAGCCCTTTGTCGGAGCGAAATCCACATAAACAGCTGATTAGAAAACTTAAGGGAACTATTGAAGTGTAAAAAAATCATGACATTATTATTTTTTAATTCAATCAATTTCTTAACCTCTCTTTTATGTGTGATTTATAAGTAATTTCTTTACAACATCCCTAAATTTTCAAGAAGAAATGTGAGGATAAAAAGCAATATTTGAACCATGACAGGAAGTTCTTGTTTATAATTTAAAAAAAAAAAAATCGCAAGGGGGGAATTTATATCCAAATCTCGGGATTTTGTAAATTAGGATGAATATAGATGGCAAAATAAACAGCTTGCTAAATTCCTTAACCAGGTTGAAGGAATACAATACTTTTTTTATTCCAATCTCAATGCTTGTGTACAATTTGAGGGTTAAAATCTTGCCCAGTCACGTACCTTTTCTACAAGTTTATAATTTTCCCAATTAGCACTTTCAAATTACATTTTCAGTTTTATAACAGGCTATATTCTGGAGGCCAAAGGCCTACATCAAAATATTTGCCCGATAATGCTTTTACTACAGATGACTCATAACTCTTGCGAATCTTACTAATTAATTTTTCATAATTTATTCAACTCCTATGTTGTAAGCAGCAAAGTTGCAAGTGGGAGTTGTTCTTTCCAAACACAACGAGTAAAACTCTTAGAACACATGATCCGGTAAAGACGAATCGATTTCAAAGCAGTTTTCCTTGTAAAGAAAGATGTATGCGTAGCGAAATTCAATTTTTTTCAAAACTTTGAACGCTGCCTTAACTTCGAACTGGAAAAATCCTTACGTCATAGCAGCGAACCGAATGGATCGAAGCGAATGCACACGAAAACAATTCCTAGCGTACAAATTACGGCACATTTGCGAGCTTTCCTTGATCACTCACGAACTGAATCGAATAAAGTTCTGAAACGCGAGTAGTAGTAGATGATTAAAAAATAAAATTAAACAGGTGGCTGGCAATGATCGAAAAAAAAAAAATCATTACGTGACACGTAATCCGATCAGTGTCAAGAGGAAATATTTCAGAACGCAGGATTTTCAGTAGCGAAAACATGGATTTTCAGTAGCGAAAACATTTTCCTCTGTTATCATTAACGCATTCAACCTTACATTTGAGCTAATTTACTCGAAGAGCACGAGTAATGTTACCTGTGTTAGTTGCCTCTCAGGAAGGTCTTGACCGGGCTGTGTTACAATTATAATGAGTTGGACAGGAGTGTCACGCTGAAGGTCTGGGCACCAGCTTTGTGGCTACAAAATAGGATAGGTCTGCATTAAAACAATTAAAACAATTAAAAATAAATAGAAATAATAATAAATAAAAAAAAAAGTAAAAATAAAAATAGAAATGTGTGTATTTCACGGAACGTAGGCTATAAGCTCCGACTTGCACATGCTATAAATGCTGTTTTTGCTGCATGTTGAAACGCTCGCGCGAGGAAAGAACCGCGTGAGGTTCGTGTCCTTTTTTTAGCACGTTTCAGAGCTGCAAGCGTACGTGCTGTAAGAGCTGTTTGCACCCCAAATTAAAATGCAAGCGAAAGAATTTCTCATCAAGCGTTTATCTCGATATCTCACCCGTTCGCTGTGCTATATTTAAACATTTGGAGAAAAATGCCATATTTATGAGTGCCTATGTATTCCGTTGTATTCTCTATTTTCTACCTGCATATAGAGGGGGACATTGGGGCCTCTGGGAAACCGCAAAACCGGGGAAAAAAACCTCCACAACCGAAAAACCGACGAAAAAAGGCAGCAAAACTGAAAACCCCATGCAAACCTGACAAAACCGCTACATTTTCACCTCTAAAGGGGTCAAAAAGGAAAAACCGAAAACCGCATCAGAGTTTTCGTGAAAACCGAAAACCGAATGCAAAAACTCATACAATCCGCAAACTGCTCTGAACATCAAAACCGAAAAACCGAACCTTTTTGGCCCAAAAACCGAAAAACCGATCCAAAAAACAGCCAAAACCGCAAAACCGAAAACCCCAAAGCCCCCCTCTGCATAAGGATTCGATTTGACGGCCAGTTGTGCGAATGAGCCTTGACGAGACTCCGCGAGCCATTATTCACATTTTGATTTTTGAAATCTTTGACAGGATAAACCTAAATATGCACATTAAAATATATATATATATAAAACAACAACAACAACAACGTTTTAATGAATAAGACTGTCTTTCTAATGTTCGCTTGTTTCTGTTCCCTAATCAGCCACATAAATAAGACCCGTGATCCAGCAAAGGCAAATCCATTTTTTTGATGTGATTAATTTTTTTTACAAACTTTAAACGTTACATTGAACAACACCTAATTTAACTTCAAACCGAAAAAAATGTTTGGTGTAGCGGCAAACAATACTCAACAGATTGTCCTTGAATTAATCGAAATGTGCAAGGAAATTAACTCCGAATGCACCTATTACGGCGTATTGGCGAGCTTTTCTTGATCGTACACAAACTAAATCGAACGAAGTTGCCGGAGACTCAATTAGCTGTGAGTAGATGCTCAAGAGAAGAGAATTAAAAAAAAAACGATTATTTTTTGCGTCTCCGATCTATGTAAAGAGCGAATAAATTCGATTGTATGGATTTCAATCGCAAAGAGTTCATTTTTGTGATCGTGACTATAGTCGATTTAAACTTGGAACTGAAACGTCCGAGGAATACATAAGTAATATTACCTATTTTAGGCTCTCTGTAAGCCTTAGGAAGGTCGTGACCGTGTTGTTTTCGGTCAGCAGGCTTGGGCCAACGTCAACCTCTTTCCCAGGACCTTTTCCCTTAGCTGGGGGTGGGGCGGGGGTGGGGCGGGAAAAGGGAAAAGGCCCTGGGAACGAGGTNCTTGCCATGAATTCTAGTAGTTGCCTCTAACATAAATAAAACACTCGCGATATGTGAGCATGACTCAGCCAGTCCAGCTTTGCATCCCAAGCAATGGGCTGACAAAATAGTCCCATCGTTTTCGGAAATGACCCAAATGTTCACTAAAGGATCATTCATATGCTGTGAATGCCAAACTCGTGCTCTCACGGCATACTTGCCGGCGATTACTTTGCCTACAACTGAGGTTACAAATCCCGACACCATTTGATTAAACGCCTCTAGACTCTTGAACGCCTTGAACTGCTTCTTGGTGTAGAAGCTGGTCTCAAGAACGAGGTAACTCAGCAAGTCCGACGCTTCCACAGGAGGCAAGCATTTTGGACTGAACTTCTCGGCTGGTATGCTTGCAGGGTCAACCCCAATGACCGAGATCTTTTGCAAACATCTTTCCTTCCAACTCTCTAAGCTTTCGGCATACTCAGAGAGCACTGGGATACCTTAAGATGAATGCCAGTTACTTTTATCGCTTTTTTCTTTCTGGATATTCATGTAGTTGGCGAAATAATGCGGCGATAAGAGACACGGCTTCACTATAGAAATCGACTAATTATTCATAAATTTGACACCCGAGGGACACCAACATGGCGGACACTAACTTCAGCAAAGCTTGTGACGTCACCTGAAACCCAACCATAGGACTTGCATTGTTTCATAGTATCTTGGAGACACTTTTCTCACAAAACATAATGCCTCAAATTGTTGAGATCACAGGAGGAAATCCATTCAGTCTGCTACCCTTGCAATACAGTCCCCCTCCCGCCCTCTCTATGGGAGTTGCATTGTTTCTTAGTATCTTGGAGACACATTTCTCCCAAAACATAATGCCTCAGATTGTTGAGAACACAGAGAGAAAACAAATGACCTATTATGGTTGTCGCTACCCTACTGAAAATACAATGATGGCAAGGAGCCAAAGATTAGTGCGTGAGAGTCGTCTAAAGATAAGCCGGCCCGTGGGTAACCTAGAATCATAGGTCTACATCAACTACACAGTCCATTCATAGGGTAATTCGCAAGTGATTCATTTTCGAATGCTTGATGCATCAGAAACTGTAATTACACTGTTGTTTTAGTTTATCTTCAAACTTTGTCCATGGACCACAGAGGTTCTTTATTAAAATGTCACCAAAGAATTAAAAGATCAACATAGTTGAACGCATCTTGAATTTCCTAGTTATGCATTTTCATCGAATAAAGGTTTAACTAAGCTCTAAGGAGTGACTGTAAAATATATTCCTCTAATGCCATATGTTCCCTAACAAGTTTTAAATACCTCTAAAAGTTAGGTCAAAATGGGAACAATCTATAAATACCTCTCTGCATAGTGCAGATTTCTCGCTGTCAACAACTTTCACAGCTCCATTCTGAAAGTAAAAGTATCTTGTGTTTTGACAACTAATTATGCAATCAAAGCCGATTTCAGGTAATTTCCCCCAAATGTTTTTTTTTTTTGTCGTGCATGATGATAATTCAAATAAATTAAGTAGTTTCCCTTGATCAGAAAAATAACTTATATCACGACTGTACGATTGTGAATAAGGAAGATATGATCAATATTTTTTAATAGTTTGTGAAAAGTATGTTTTTCACCTCAATTTCAATGCTCTGAATCAAAGAGAAGCAATCCTTGAAGCTAGACATAGAGCCGTTCTGTACCACTGCTGATTCACACGTTTTTAGAGACGCCAGAATTTCATCAGACTTTCCAAATTTTAAAGTAGCGTTTATATGGTTTGAAACTTCAAATAATTTAAACCACCATTTTTTTCCTGAACTCAAAACGTAGCGTACCTGATATATCATTATACGGGAATTATTTTACAGTCCAGTTCCATCTTTTCAACTGGGTCACTCGAATGATGTTACATTTCGAGCTTAAACTGTAGTCAAGTATTCCTTTACCGCATAATTGTATTTTGTCAATCAGAAAGTGCCGAACGAAACAAACGTGTAAAAATTACTTTACCACCTTGTTTACATTTCCGCTTTAATCGCTGCTTACGTGGAGTCCAACGATCAACAAAACGAACTGACACAAAAGGCGGCACAAAAACTGTACAGTGTTCCCTTCTTTCCTTTGCTGCTAGCTGTCGTCCATTTTTCGGAATCTGTCTATTTACAAATTCCGTAGATAACTTGATTCCTTTCAAAATTGTCTATCCTCCTTTTCGATTTTTTAAGGGTGCGGTTAAATCACCATTAGTGTGTTTCTCCACTCTTGACTTAAACGCGGCGTGGATTTCCTTCTTCTTTTTATGTTACTGTCATCAAGGAACAAACAGCTACGAGAATCCCTCGTGTTTGCACTGAGAGAAAGCTTACGCCGGCACTTCTGCAAAATCACTCTAGCAGAGGCGAGCTTGACACCGCTAGTTGAATTAGTAAGCCCAAGGTCCATGTCATCTTTCGAAGCTTCCTGACTTCCCATCCATGTTGTTGGATCGACCAACAGCGCGATCGCTTTCGCATGGAGAATCTGCGACAGCCACTCGTTCCTTTCGTGCTCTGAGAAGCAACACAGATGAAATGTTCGATTTGCGATCTTGCCGGCCGTAACTGATCGCTTTACAAGCTTTAAGCAGTACTTAGTCTGTTTGTCTGGTAGTTCGTCTATATAAAGGGACATGTCGTTGAAAAATATCACCTCTTTTGGTACCTCTTCTACAGATTGCTTTTCAGTTCGGTAGTAACAGAGACATTCTTTACTAAGCACAAAATACCGAAGATTCCATTGCTTAAGAAGATCGCTTTGCTTCAGCAGGTAACCATGTTTTAAAATCCTTTCGTTGTTATTAGCGTCAAAGCTTTTCATTCTCAATAGAGCTGATGTGTAAAAGTGTGCGAATCTTGTCCAGACTATAAGCGCAACGAAAGCTTTACTTGTGCTATGACTTCCAATGTTTTAATAGGCTCAACACTCCGCGCGAAACTGTAGTTCGAGTTATTTCCCTCGCAAACTGTGAGGAATGCAAGTCACTTATTGCGGCAGTACTCACAAATACCAATCCTCGCGCTACTGCGAGCTTCACACGGCCTTGATTGGTGAGGAAATTTACAAGCAGCTCTCGGCAGGACACAACGGTGTGAAAACAATACCTCCTGACGCCTCCTTTAAGCCCAAGCTGAAGTTCTGGAGTGTCCTGTGTTCCTATAACGGAGTGAAAGGTCAAAAAAACACGCCACTATTATCATTTTAAGGATCGCGTATCCACTAACAATCGTGCGATTGGGTTTCCCCTCACTTGACAACTGGCTGAGTGGTCTCATCTGCAAATAACAAAAGTGCGCTTGTTTTGGGAGCCCGAGGTTTTGTTCTTGAAATAGTAACACACCTGACATACGCATTGTCAGCGCCTTCTTCGTAAACATGTTTTCTTGTGTGGTTTGTTAAGTGAAGATAAATAGTGATTTCTATTTCTAAGTGAAGTGCAATGACTCTCCTCCTCCGCAATTACAAAATTTCATTCCTTGCAATTTTAAAGAAAAGTGAAAAAAAAAAAACCTTGTGTCTGAAGAATTGATTATTCTAATTGGAAATCTACGTTACATTTAATTTTTTTTTTTTTATGTTCTCCGTTAGCAACTACGCGAGGTAGGGAGGATAACTGTAAAAAATATGGATCAAACGAATCCCATGTGTCGGATGGGAACGTTAAACGATATGTTAAAGTGAATTGATTTTCGCAACTAAGTTCAACGCCTTTTCTTTTTTTTTTTTTTTAAGTTTAGCTGCAAATGCGTTGTAGCACGCAGCCACAAATATGCTTGATATGTGTAATGAACTTTTACATATTTTTTGACCTTTAAAATCTTTCCCCGTATCTCATAGCCCTGCAGGGTTTTGATAACCATCCAAAACGTCCAAGCACGTACTTCTAAGTTGGCAAACAAATGATAACTCATTAAATTCAGATTTACTCTCTTGGTGAAAAATGAATGCCAAAAATTCAGCGGTTCGTTTCACTCCCATTCCGTTCACTGAATTGAAAACGTTTTGGACTTCGACTGAGTTCAAGCCGCGTATAAGCTGTTCTCCAGAAAGGGTAATTCCCCTTGTGAAATCCCCGACCATATTGGTAGATGCTGTGAAAGCGGGTTGCCCCTAAAGTACCTTTTGTGTTAATTAAGTCTATTTTGCCAAGAAAGCTCTTTATCGCGTCTGATCAGGCAAATTGTTTCCGCTTCACCCCGACGTAGAGATTATGGACAGTCTAGCTTTTCCTTCAAAGAAGTAAATCTCTGTTGACTGCGCGAAATAACGTTTTCGAACTTAACACAAAACTTACGAAGCAAGTGACTTACTCAGTCCATAGGTAATGACGCCTTAATTAGCTCCATAGGGAAAGGCTCTGAAAAGCAATTTGATGAGCGCAAACCGACATAAAAAAAATCGACAAATATTATATTAAAGAGCGAATGTATGATGACGTCATTATCAAAACTGGGGTCCAGGTTTGACCGAGCAGCACCGGTCTGCATGACACTCGTGTAAGCGCATATGTTTGATTAACGTCCACGGGACCCGGCTGTTACAGCAGGATTTTTCAGAAAACGGGAAAAAAAATTATCTGATCTCAAAACTTGCTGGATGCACAACGCTCGTGCCAGTACACATGTTTGATTGTTAAACGTGTTCGTGAACCAGCTATTACAAGATAATTTTTCAGAAATCACAATTTTCGTTTCTTGAAAACAGGACAAAAAATTATCTGACCGCAAAATTTGGTGGATGTTGCATGACGCTCGTGCAAGTGCACATGTTTGATTAACGTACTCGCGAACCAGCTGTTACAGTAGGGTTTTTCAGAAATCACAATTTTCGTTTCCTGAAAACAGGTAAAAATGCCCGACGGGGTCAGGCAATTATTTTGTGACCATGGAATCTGGAGTCTTTTGTGAGCCTTGAAATGTGCGAGGTTAAAAGTAAACTTACACGATTTAATTCTCAGAAATCTCGCTTGTCAATTACCCTCGGAGGCATCGCATGTGATTGGTCAAGATTTTGTAACATTTCGTCCGTGTCGGTATTTCTTGTCAACAGTACTCATTTGCATATCCTGAAATGGTTTGCGATCCTGAAGCAGAAGCAACCATAGGGTTAAAATTTGAAGGTGTGGCAGTTGAAAAATTCTACAGTAGAAAGTCTCGTAAAGAGTCAATAAGTCGATAGATCTTCAAATTTTTACAGTCGTTGTTTGGAATCAACAAAATACTGCACACAAAATTGTATTTAGCCGGAATTATTATTTCACTACTACGCAACGTTTCAAGAAATGGTCTATTGTTCCGGATTAAATTCACACATTAAGTAGTAAACAATAGTCCTTTTGTTCTTTGTAGCACTGAGGGACTTTGGCCGAAGCGACAAGAAAAAGTTTGTGACTAATCGGAAAAAAATTTTTGGCATCACAATTTAGCTATTTTGGAAGAGTAGGTAGCGCATATTTGCACACGGTAGATAAATTGTCACCGGAGTACCCCAAGGGAAAATTAAACGCTGATTTAGACGCTTCGGGGAAGTGGGTAGCGTAAATTTGTCTGGTACAATGTATATTTAAAGTTCATATATTTTGAACTGCGGTATTAGATACGTATGATATTACCGTATTGGGGCTACGAAACGTGAAAAATCTGCCACGGTTTTACAGTGTAAGACAGGGGAAAAAATACGGACGGAAACGGAGTAACGGTATAACTTAGCGATGAGCATTTTAAAGAAATTCTTAAAGAAAATTTTTCAAACCCGTCATTACATTCGTAATCTAACCTTGCCCATCAAAGTATAGTCATGCTCTATACGTACTGCTGGAGTGATTTCACCTTAGCAGCGGCCATCATGAGAAATCTTCATTAAGAAATCATCTAACTATGATTTAGCGGATTATGACGCAACACCGTTAATCACTGATGTTTGGCCAACCGTACATATTTCACGGTATCAACTATCAATTTTTGTTAACCTCCGCCGTATGTAAATCGTAGCTTCAAAAATCCCAGATGCTTTGGGCCTACAACTACTTGCAAAATATTCTGATATCCTAACGGATGGCAAATAACTGACACAATTACTCGAAACAGCCTTCTTAAAAATCCCTTAAAAAAATCAACTGAAACAAATTTTGTAATAAATTTCTACGAGATATGTATAAAAAAAGAAGAAACAAATAAAGAGAAAAGATCTGTTTTACTCCATCGTGGTGCAATTAAGACAAACCTTCTGTTCAGAAATAGGGACCTTAAGCAGTCAGGACGGCAACGCCAAGGAAGACTTTGATTAAAAAATGAATTTCTACTCTTAGTTAGAATTTCATAAATAGCTGCATGAGCTTACTGTCTCATACGGCTCCACAGCTCAACTTCAGTATGACGTCTAAAATTAATGTTGAGTTCCAAATGGAAATCAAAATATTTGCCGTCGCGGTTTCGGCTCACAGACGACGCAAATTTTGGCGATTTCACGTTGTTGTTTTGCATAGGACGGCTTAGAAATGTACAAAGTTTCAAAATGCACGTGCAGAGCTATTATTCTGCCAATTGGATCTCTTGTTTTTCCACGTCCTCGTTGCCGTCGCCGTAATTCGTCAAATTCCTCGAAGCAGGAGACTTAAAAATTTGCCCTTGGCTGACGCGCCAAACCGGAAATGAAAACTCATCTGAGAAATGGTGGCTGAAAAATTCAGTTCAAACAATAATAAGGGACAAATCTGTTCAGGAAATCGCGATCAGCCACAAAACATCCCGCTGCGGTTTTGCGAAATGTTGCCAAGTGTCATTTGCTCAGGTGGTTTTTCAGCAAGAAAATAGAAATTTCAAAATTTTAAATTCAAAAACATTTCAGACAATGGTGTGTTCGGTGGTATACTACGTGCGCCGGCCAAATCATGACCAATTTCAGACTGTTGTTTTTCTAGCATGGATTTTTCTCAGGCGAAATTTCGGTTTAACTTCCAAGTATCGGTGGACATTTTACTGTTGACCTTTTAAGCATCCCGTGCTGACAGAACACGAGTAACGGCTGATAGATTGCAATTAGGACATTGGACGAAACGGGGTCAATTTTGATATATTGGAGAAGATTATTATATGATTCTCTTCATAAACACAGACTGTCAGCTTGGGAAATAGGTGAAAATAGAATGCTCTCGAAGTGAAACACTTTTTTAGGGAATCTGTGGACAATAATTTTCGATTGTCGCACACCCAAGAGACCTCAGAAACAGCTACAAAGACTGAAGGGACAAGAAATCGTCCTTTCCTCTGACCCCTAACGAAAATAAACTGCTCCTAAGATCAGAAAAAACTCTGACTGTGTTTTATGTCTAAATTTTGTTTGATTTCCGCAGAACTACGATATAGTATATCAAAGTTCCCTCTAACAATTTTGATAAGAGAACTGTAAAAAAATGACATGACCCTCGTTTGAATACAGAAATTTGGAGCGAAGTTGTAGTAACACAACTAGCCGAAAATGGTTCTGAAACTGAAAGAAACTTTTCACTGATGCGATCTAAGGATCTAACTTAGTGAAATAGAATCTAAAATTTATTGCCCAATGCGCCGCGCAGTGTGACGATCTCGTGTTCGCTTCATCTCGTAATTGCGTGATCTCCGAAATTGTTCAATGATTCATCTTAAACAGTCTAAAGTTTTTGCTTAGTAAAGATGATGGTAAATTTAGCAAAAATAAACTCTTACTTAAGCTAGAAGAAATTTTTCCATCAGTATCGAAACAAAAACTGAAAGCTACTTACATAAGCAATGACAATTCCTCTATTGAAGCATAATCTATTTTCGCCCGTATCGCCTCACGTCCTATCAATTCCCAAGGGTCGCATGTTATGCTCCTGTGTACACGTAACATCATTTTTAAACAGTCGATGATGGGGGNCAAACAAAGCAAACTATTATTTTAGACATTTGATATCCAATAGAATAGTCAGTCATCACCCGGTAGACAAAGAGCATGTGCCAATCACATGACAGGTTGTTGTTGACCTTGCCTGACGTCTATATAAATTCTTGGAGAAGGTATTTTCGCATATGCGGTTCGAGGAATTGTGAAGTTCCTGTCTGATTCCTCAAAGATTGTGGCTTCGGGAGTTTGTGTTAAGTACAGAAAAAACCTTCGACTGATATACAAAGGGACGGAAATCGATTGCTGGGAAATCCTGAGAGGGCTTCGAAAGAAATGAAAGGCGCATACACACGGCCGTTAAAACAAGGTTACCTTCTGAAGCAGAGCGAAATTTTAAAACAATGGCATCTCCGTTATTTCGTCCTGAGCAAAGAGTGCCTTTGTTACTATAGAACTGAAGCGGAATCATTAGCAGAAGCACCGAAGGAGGTTATATTCTTCAATGACATGTCTCTTTACATAGACGATCGAGCTGACAAACAGACAAGGTACTGCTTGCGGCTTGTAAAGCGATCTGTATCAGCCGGCAAGATTGCGAATCGCACATTGCTGCTGTGTTGTTTCTCGCAAGATGAAAGAAACGAATGGCTGTCTCAAATTCTGTTAGCGAAAGCGATGGCTTTGGTTGCTGATCCAACCGCTCTGATAGGAAACCGCGAAACCTCCACTGAGCATATGGACTTTGAGCTCACTGTATCCGGAAAAAATGACCGGCGTCCTACCGCTAAGGAACTGTTGCGAAAATGTCGACGGAAAGTTATGCTCGTAAGAAGTACAGGGGATTCCTTGAGTAGTTTACTCCCTGAAAACTTAGACAATTTAGAACTAAAGTCCTTTACGTTGAACCTTCAACACTGGAGGAGCTCATTAATGTTAGTACAATCATAGATTGCCTTTTGAGTGCTCGTGGATCAAAGTTTTAAGCGCAAGGCATATATCTTTCCGACCGTAAATCTGTGTATGAAAAACCGCCAGCCAAGAACTGAAATACGAAAATACTTCTTTTAGTTTAGAGAAGCACGTTTTATTTATTACTCCTGTTAAAGGGAAAGCTTAGTTTAGACATTTGTTGAACAGTTTTCCAAAACGTATTCAAGCCAGAGTGGAGTGCATGAGAAGGTTCACGTTTTTATGTATTTTATTTATTTCTAGAATAGTTTCTACGCTTAATTTATACATCACTATATCTACTTTAAAGCTTTCTAGGTGGGCATTTAAGCTCGTAATGGTGCTAGTAATAAATGTGAAATATGAAAAACGTTTGCCACTTTTACTTGACGAATTTATCAAAATGCTTCAGCGGAAAACGTTGTAAAAAGTGATTTCACGTTTGTCTCGGCTGACTGGAACACAAGGAAAGCTATTTAATCTTGCAATAGTTAATGCCCCTTTTTTCCTCTCCTTCAAGAGTATAAGGCAGGGAACGCCTTTGTCTAGCACCTGAGTTGGTGGATTAGCGATAGCTGATGATTTTTGAAAGTCTCGACGGCTGAAGCTGCAATTAGGCTTTCACTTCTACGATCCAAAAGCTTATTATTTTTACTGGCGACCTGTACATCTCTACTGTTTATATTTTCATATATTTTATAGTAAAATGATTGAAAGAATTTAACAAATGATAACCTCCTGGGGAGAAATAGGGAAAGGAATTATGTCAACATATATTGAGTCAATTTTTGATGTAATGATTCAAAAACAGCGACTAAGACTTTGTCAGCATTTTCCTTGACATTTCCTTCTTTCACTTAAATTCAAGAAAAATGAAATACTGAGATAAACGCATAATACATAAATTTAGACAAGCCTAAAAGCGGAGCTCCCACGGTCAGTCACGTGACAACCAAACGAAAAGAGTAAAGGCTGATAGTTTCGAAAGAAACTGTTTGGGGCTGCGTTGGTGGGGGTAATGAAATAATATGAATATATCAACAAAGTTGAAATGGTAAATTGGCCACCGTTACGATTATAAAAGCTGACGTTTCAAGCGTTAGCCCTTTGTCGGAGCGAAATCCACATAAACAGCTGATTAGAAAACTTAAGGGAACTATTGAAGTGTAAAAAAATCATGACATTATTATTTTTTAATTCAATCAATTTCTTAACCTCTCTTTTATGTGTGATTTATAAGTAATTTCTTTACAACATCCCTAAATTTTCAAGAAGAAATGTGAGGATAAAAAGCAATATTTGAACCATGACAGGAAGTTCTTGTTTATAATTTAAAAAAAAAAAAATCGCAAGGGGGGAATTTATATCCAAATCTCGGGATTTTGTAAATTAGGATGAATATAGATGGTAAAATAAACAGCTTGCTAAATTCCTTAACCAGGTTGAAGGAATACAATACTTTTTT